AAAAAAAAAAAAAAAAAAAAAAAAACCCCCCGAAAAAAAAAAAAAAAAAAAAAAAAAAATCTCTGAGGGCCATGCATTAACATAACCTTGTAATATGTCATTAATGGCGTGCTCAAGTTACTGTCCTAATTTGCAGGCTCTATAAATGATACTTGTCATGACTTATTAACTCTATGCAAGAACAACATATAAAATTTGATTTTTAAAATGTTTTTTTTTTACTTATTAACACATCAAAATAATAAAAATATTAATTTAATTTTTTAAAAATATAGCTAAAATATGATTATTAATTCAAGTCATTCATCGACCTTGTTAATTTATATGCAGAATCCATTCATCCAAGCATGTATGTGTATGTTTCATGCTTTCTTACTCATCCTTGAAATTCAACAGTAACATCAGTCATCATCAATCGATAATAATTTGGTTCTGTGCAAAGTGTTCATACTGTTCTCTTATCAATTTTCACGCGTGAACAAGTTCTTATTTGCAAGAGATTCTTTCTTCAAGACTTGTTCAATGCGGTGAATTTTTTCAGAAACCATGTAATATATGCTTTTATATCTTAAATAAATACACTCTAAATCTGACTCATTTTGACATATAAATTTGATGATTTGTTCATCTGAAATTTGAAATCTTGTTATAGAACAGTTTTTTTTTTTTTTAAATTTTTTGAATGAAGTGAAATTATTTCAGTTTTGTAATTTTATTTAAAATAATATCATTTTAAGATAGATATAAATTAACTTGAGAAATTCAAGAAATAGTGTGATACAATATAAGTTTTGCCACAGTCGCATATTTAAAACTATTTAATTAATTAGTATATCAAAACTATACTTTTAATTTTTTTAAAATTATAATAAGAAAAAAAGACTATAATGTATTTGTTCATGCCGACAATATAGCAGTTTGCCGTATAAGAGCATCATTCACAACGAGCGTACCCTAAGCGAAGGATGGCCTCTCGAGCAAAGGTAAGCTAAAAACAAAGAGGAGGGGGCAATGGTGAAAAAATTCTGAAGTGACAATGGTGATAATGTGATATGATATTCAAACCGTCATCACTTACAGGACGTGGGTTTCTTTGCATGGGTCCCTCTTTTGTCTCCTTCTCTGCATCTCACATCAACCCTTCCTCTCTCCTCGCAATCCTTCTCTTGGAGCCCTTGCTTTATATATTCTCTCAAGCCTCTCTTCTCTTCCATGAGTTCTTACTCCTCCCCCGCCCCTCCCCCCCAATTTTATGTGATTCCTCACGGAAAAGGCAATCTCTTATCTTCCCCCCCCACAAGACCTCCAACATGTCAGCTGCTGTTGCAGCCGCCGCCGCCGCGGCCACCATGTCATGTAATTCTGCGAGGAGTGGCTCGTCAGGAGCTTCTAGGAGCCACCAATTGCAGAAAGAACTGCTACTACCATCCCCACCACCACCACCATCTCCAATATCATTACCACTTCCATTGAGTCGTTACGAATCTCAAAAGCGACGAGACTGGAACACTTTCGGACAGTACTTGAGAAACCACAGGCCACCACTGGCACTGGCACGGTGCAGTGGTGCCCATGTTTTGGAGTTCTTGAGGTATCTTGATCAGTTTGGCAAGACCAAGGTGCATAGCGAAAATTGTCCATTTTTTGGCCATCCCCATCCACCGTGTCCTTGCCCTTGCCCTCTCAAGCAAGCATGGGGCAGCCTTGATGCTCTCATCGGCCGTCTCCGTGCGGCCTTTGAAGAGAACGGTGGACTGCCTGAGACGAACCCTTTTGGTGCACGCGCTGTGAGATTGTACTTAAGGGAAGTGAGAGATGCACAGTCTAAAGCTAGAGGGATAGCTTATGAGAAGAAGAAGAGAAAGAACCCAACACCACAACAGCAGCAACAAAAGTTACAAACTGCAGGAAATGGTACTTATAATGTTCAACAGGGTATTGGTAACGGTGGATATGTTCCAATGAATGTCCTCTCTAACGAGGCTGCAGTGCTCAGTGTAGGAGATGTGCCTGTGTTCAACGAAGCCAACAATAGCACTACTTTATTGGTCTAGGGTTTACAACTATAATTAAGTAATATATGCCAGGTAATATTGTAATGCAAGCTAGGGTTTAGTATGAGATGGTTAATTACCTTTCCTTGTTCTTCGTGCCAATGTGTTTTTGGTGTTGTTAATTAAGGGAGAAAATCATTATTCTCCTAATTTTCTACCTTCAGTGCGTGGCAAAGTAGTTAGTCTGTACTTATCCACTAATCAGAATGTCTCTGAGATTTCCCTAAAATCTAGACATCGATCTTGGAGAATAAGAAATCAACTCATCATCAACCTTGAAAATAATGGAGAAATGATTGCTCGATCCTCTTTTTGATCCCATGAACATGAAGGGAAATCATTGGAGCACACAACATATGAAGGATTTCCTTGTCCCATATTGTAGATTAATTTCTCAGCCTGCCTGTAGTGATGATTCATTTGGAATTTTGAGAAGGGTTTACAAGGTGGTGATGGATGCAGGCTGTGGAGTTAGAACTTCGAAAGGAAATAATAAATGGATAATCCATCTCTCAATCTTGATAGCTTTAATTTCCTCAATCTCGGGACAAAAATCATTTCAGTTATAAATCTTATTTTTTTCCCCTTTTCCCTGCAATTAGTATTTTGTTGCTGTTTCGAAGCAGATTAATAAATATAAATAGAAAAAATATAAAAAATTATTATAAAACCTTTTAGTTTTTTCAATCAAATATGTTTTTATTTTTATTTTTCTTCTCAATATAATAATCAATACTCAAAGATATTAATTTAGGCCGGACAGTACCACACATCAGTCAGCCTACCAACTTCTCGTTAGTGGAGAATTTTCTGATGTGCTGAATAAACAATCTTAGCAGTGATACAAATGCAAAACAATCCAAATTTAGTTTTTTTTTGTGTTAATTTTGGAGTTCATCTTTTCGGCTTTTGTTAGAGGTTCCTTAGCTTGTGAAACTCTCTTTCCCATCTCTGTTCATCATAAATGTTTCAAGGAAAATCCAAGGAGCTGTCTCTTCTTCAATGGGAGGCCGTGTGTCTTACATCCAAGACAGGCATCTCTTTTATATCCACACAAATCTTGTATAGGGAAGGCCAAGTCTTCACATTGACTGCTTCCCTTGCTTAGCAAAGTAGTGGTGGATAGAGTTTTCTGCTTTTAGATGGGCAGCTGAGCACATTATCTCCTTCATTTCATCCCCCAACTTTAATCATTACTCATTAGTGCTATGTTCTCAGCATTATTTTATACCATCCAACTTTATTTAGAGGATTACAGATATTAGCATCTTTCATGGATGACATCGATCTCTTGCTCACATGAGGCCCTACTTGTGATGATGTAATAATATATATGCTAACCCAGCCACTTCCACTCTAGTTAATGTGATGTAATTTGATAAATCATCTTGCGAATAACATAATCTTACCTACTTTTTCCTCCACTCGTATCAAAGAAATCTTACAAACAGGGATGAGTATTAGGTGGTTCAATTTGAAAATTCAACTTAAATGAATGATATCCGGTTTAGTATGATTTTTTCTATTAAAAAATTGAATTAATCTATAGGTTTTCTTTTTGTTAGTTTGATCTTTTGATTTTCTCTTTAAAAAAACTAAATTTGGTTGGATTGGATTTTTTTAGTTTTTTAAATTTAAAACTAAAACCAAACCAAATCAAGCTAGATTAAAAAAAAAAAATTAATCGGATTAATCTTACATTGATTAAACTAATTCTGATTTTTTGTTATTTTTCTTAATCCTAAATGTGTTGCATAATTCTCTTGAAATTGGTCTGTTTACAGTAATTCTTTCATGAAAAAAGCAAATGAATATTCAAAGATTGCTTTAGCAATGTGATTAATTCTAGCCCTAAAATCTCTCCAATGAGGGAAAAAATTGTAAGGAACTCCGAGTCCCTTAAAATGTACAGCAGTTCTGCCAAGAAAGAGAGCTTGATTTCCATCACAAGTCCTGCAACACAGAGAGAAGCAAAAAGAGAAATGCAGAAAGGGTTGGCTCCTTTAGCCATTAAACGTTAAAGGGTTGGCTGCTTTAGCCATTAAACGTTAAAGGGTTGGCTCCTTTAGCCATTAAACGTTTTCTCGCCTGAATTATGTATGCGCCGGCGCATGTGTGTGGCCCACCTGTGGAAACAATCTCAAATGCTATTGCAGACAGCTGGTTCATTAAGAATATATGCTCCAAATCAGAATAAGATTAAGATAGAAAGGTGGAATTATGCTGGTAAGATATGGAGATTAGAGTCATGCAAGATGGGGCCGAGTTCTTAGTCTAATCGGAGGAAATGGGTCTGGTCCTCACTTTATGCAGCAAAGCATGGTGGGATTAAAATAACAATCCTTATCCTTGATTGCAACTTTGTATGCTATAGCAACAAAGGGAATTGTTGAGTTGCCAAAGTCTTTGCATCAACTATGGAGTACCGCTGCTCATCAGACATAAAAAGAATTTTCAGAGACATCATGCATCTTTGTCAATGAATATATCAAGGACAAAGAATCCACAAGTTCCAATCCAGAATGGCAACGAACCAAGATGGTAATCATACTATAGATTAAAAACCACACCTGGGTGTCTGATTCATTGTCATTGCTAATTAGCTTTGACAGTCTACAAATATTTTTTTTTTTTTTGCTTACAGATCATGAGAACTTATCAAAAAGAAAATACAGGAATAGGGAATTTCTTGCGAGTAGTTTGTTGATTATTGAGGTCTTTTTGTTGCTTTACTTTTCTCTTCTAGTTCTCGATGTCAGGGTGTTGCAGACAACATCATTTTTATCTACTAACACAGTTCTCTCCAAGTGTAGTCTTCTATATGTTGCAAGCCAAAGCAGTGACATTGAAATTAACTATAAAAAATTTCTGTATATACCAGCAGACCTCTAATATTTATGCTATTGATCTCCCTAACCCCAGTTCGAAATGCAAGTAGGATGTCAAACCTTGCATAGTGTCCACCAGAGCTGTGAAATGCCAATTGCTTTGGCTAGATATTGGTAACTGTGGAATTGTCCGGTTTAGATCAAAGGAGTTATCACCAGCTGCTGATCAATTAATTAATGAGCTCTAATATTTGTTCAAACAAAACACTAATAAAAGTTCACGGTCGAGTGCAATTTAGATGGGGAAAATCATGGTGTTGCGAGGACAAGACACTGAAATTGACATGGTAATTTCTAAGCAAGCACACGAGAGCTACACAGCGAAAGAAAGTGTGGGCACAGAGCAACATACTGAAAAAAATATGGCAATGAATAAGCTGGGAACCGCAAACCAGATGACGTGCCCTCAGCAAGATAATTTTTCATCATAACTATTACAGAGCAACAGGTCATGTCAATTTTTTCTTTTTCAGCCATGGAAAAACCAGAAACCAAACAAAGTTGTCCCATCAAACTAGATGCCAACAGAAAGACGGTAGCATGTGTCAGACAGCAATGCACCTACATATAATATGCATGGATATGTAAACCAACCTTGATGGTGAGTGCAGGAGTTGTTGGATAATACATGTCATCTCCATCTTCATTTCATACCAGCTATTTCGAGAAATTAGTGGAACTGTGTCCCAGAAGGAAGCATCCTGAATGAGTCAACCGCCAAGTAGCCAAAACTTAGAAGTCAGAGAATAGTTCAGACAAAAAATGCACTCAAAACAAATTTCGATGCATGAATGAAAAATTGTAAGGAGATTTTTAGAAGCAGCATGACCTCTAGAGTGCATGGTAGTCCATTTTAGGTGAGTTTCTGCACCGGGACCGATGTACTCGCCGCGGCATCGAGCAGCGACTAGGAGCGAATCCCATATTAATTAATGAGGCTTTGCCATTTGTTCACTTAGAACTCTCACATTACAAGAAGTATAGGTTTACCTAGGGCAATACCAACTTAGAGCGTGAGCAAGGGGAAAAAACTGGAGCAATCTGTGTTAAGTTCTTTCCCTCAGTGAGTTCTTGGAAAGCATGTCATGTTGCACTGAATTTTTTTAAACTTGCGAAAGCCTACTTTTCGAGACACAAAGTAATATAAAGCTGAAAATTAAATATAAGTTAACCAATTTCATTATTCAACAACAAAAAAATAATAGTAAACCACAAACAATGAAGGAAAATGAAAACTACTTTTTTGTTCTAACCTCATTTGGATCGATATGAGATCAAACAAAGAAAGATGTTCAAGCCACGAATATCTTCCATCCTATTCCTGTTTGATTTCCCCTTTGACTGCGTTTGTCTTCAAATTGCTTGTGCCATGCATGTCTGATTCTCCAGATTCAGTCATTTCCAAAGAAGCTGTTCGTACAGCTTGAGGAACATAACCTTCTTTTCTTAGCTCTAGGAGCGCAGACTCTTCAGTGAGGAATAGATCTGAGGCTACTCTGGGTGACTTTCATCTGCAGCATAAAACATATGAGAGGTGTTGGTGACCACAAATCCAATTGCATCGAGGAACTTTGTGGACTCCTCTATCTTTCGTCAAATGTCGTATCCAACGCACGCTCCTCCATTGTTCAGAGTCGGCAAGTACATGTAACCAGAGATATTTGGGTCCAAGTCAAGGAGATATCTTGAAGCCACTTCAGCAAGTTCCACATTGCACAAAACACAATCTTTATCGATCGCTTCATCAAACACACACCCTTCATCAAAGAACTACCAACAAGCATATCCAAATCAAAACCCATCTCCAAAATAATATCTTGACTTGAACCACCTTCCCTAATCTCACATTATTCAAACCAGTGCAGGCCTAACTTACAGAAGGAAAAGTATACTTGAACAGGCAAAGCACCACAACCCAACATTTTAAAACAAAACAATTAATCGAAATCGAAACAACCCATCTTCACAGACCCTCTAATCATCCATTTCCATGGCATGGCACAATAAAACTCAAGCTGATTAACCAGTTTCTTAGCATCCATAAAAACCATTACAAAGCACATGCATACCCTACATTTTCCCACCCGTTAAGCCATTGGTGATGTTTTATCCATTAACAATGAATTGGGTATGCAGTTGCTTTCCTTGTTTAAGTTTTGGACTTGGTTTTTTTGCAGGATTGATTTCAGTGGGTTGTCTAAAGAGTCTTCATTGTTGAAAAAGAATGGATCTTTCAAGGCTTTTTTTAAGACTTCAGCCTAGCATTTGTGAAACATGTATATTGAATGCAGTTTCTTAGCCATCCATTATATATATATATATATATATATATATATATATTGCCATTAATTTGAATAAATCACACTTAAGAAACTCTTTACATTTTTATCAAACTCAACAAAAAATCTGAACCCAGTGGTGTTTTAGCATTACCCCTAATACCATGATCATCAATTTTACAGGTCGGTGACATCGTAGAAGGATGTGCGTGCAATGAAAATGCCGCAAAAGAAAGTTACGGTACAGTTCCTCGAATAAACACACCAGAGAGACCACCCTCCAGGCATATGTCTGTTTGATATTGCTACCAAATTAGGTTATTAGTGCAAAAAGCATTTTTGAGGTTTTTTCAGCTCAACGGCAAGTCCAATCATATTGCCAAACATTGCTACTTGAAGTGGCTGGCAGGCCTTAATATTTACAATTGGTTCAACCCAACCCCAATTCTTCTTCCTTCCAGAAAATCCTCCCCTGAAACAGGATGAGAGTGGTTGCTCGTCAACTGAGCAAATACGAACAACTCAGAGCTAATAAGTAATACGTACAGAAATGATAGCTCCAAGTGTACCTGGGGCAAGACAATTCATTGTTCAAGCGTGCCTCCAATGCGAGAGAGATGCGATTGACAGGGAAATATAATAGCCATCTTGTACTCATTTGCTATACAAGAAATGCATTCAGAATCTTAAACTACAACAAAGAATCCCTCTTCCAAGTGATATAGACAAATAAATTATTATCTTCAAGAACAATCTTCTAATCTAATATATATATCAATCCCTCCTACCGATTCCTAACTCTTGCACTCTGAACAGGTCAGTTACGGGGGGCTCTTCGACAAATGGAAGTCGTCTCTAAAAAAATGCAACAAATGATACAAAACTGCACGGTGTCTTTGAGGGAAGTAATTATGGCTAATGCAGAAAATTTCAAGGCTTCCATAATTTCATTATGCTATCTTCACTATAGGTAGCAAGAAGATTTCTATGAGGATGATGGGTCACACCTATTACATCCTTCTCGTGAACCTGGCAGTACCAAAGGTCAAAACATGCACTTGCAAGGTTAGAATGACCCATGCATTGAATTGCACATAATAAGCAGAAAAGCAACCAATGCAAAAGACACCAAACCATGCAGTTTCTGTACTGACTTAGGAGCGCTTCCATGTTACAACATCAATGCACAAACATGAAGCTACATGCTCAGAGAAGAATCCCAGAAGCGTTGATAACTAATCAGCTCATATACCAAAGCAGCAAACACCAATCCATACGATGTAGATGCGGAGGTTAGTTGTTAAATTCATTGGCCCCAAAAAGCAATGAAAACATACATTTCATAGCAGTTTAACGTCGTGTAAACTTATATCACCTAATGAGCCCCCGTTGAAACAAGGACAGCTAAGTCCAGCCCAGATTCTTCCCTTTCTTCCCTCATTTTTATTCTCTCCCGTTTGGGTTTATACCAAAACACTCGATTGAGAACAAGTTTATTTTTACAAGATTATAGATTGATTGCTGGTTTAAGATGAAAGGAAAAGGACGAAATAGAGAGCAACCCAAAACCATAGACCCTGCCACCGCCATAGTGAAAACTCACCATCATTAGATGCTCTAGTTTGCCGGATTGGAAGCTGAAGCAGTATTCCTGCAGGCAATTTTGAGGACAGTTATTAACAAAATTAAGCCGTCTCAAACACCCATCTCTCAACTTGTCTCAGCAATAAATGACATTTTCATTTCATCTTTCTCTTCTTTTTTTATAGAATTCTTATTTTATGAGGGAAAAAGAAACACAAAATTGAAAATTTTATATCAGAATTGGGTGGATGAAGGAATAACTGTCTTCACCAACACAGTAGATCCATTCCCCTTTTGGTGATACACAATCTGCAGCAAAATCTCAACCTCTTTTACCTGAAGAAAAGCTCTTCACAACCTGCATAACAGCCACTCAAAGCAAGATGTTATTGGTAATGAATTATCAAAACTCCTCTACTTATGCACCCTGAAAGAGTTTCAGTGAACGAAAAAAGTGCCTTAACCAGTAAAACATAGAATTGTAATCTATCTATAGGATGGTAATCTGTTTATATTTGCCTTTGTGGTGGTCTAAGACTAGAAAATGCTAGAGAACTTTCAATGGTTTACTGTCAAAAAAGTAGTTGGTTCACTATCTAAAATTTGGTCCCAACCCCAAAACCAATCATGGAGTAACAAATAAGTGACAAACTATTAGCATCAGCTGGAGTTGAGAGAAACTACCTGCCCTTGAAGTGTCATAATGCATACCAATGATGTCATGTTACATACAACAATATGATCAGTGTTTTTTGGGAAAAGATGAACAGAGTTCACAGAAGCATCACCTCCCTAACAATCCACACAACAAGCAACAATCAGCTATGTGCTGTAGAAGGCAAAATCAAGACATATAGCATGGATGTATTCTATCCCAGGTAAGTCCCATGAGACAATGCAGCTCAATCATGATCATGCAAATTGGATTAAGAAAAAATACCTTCAATGGTGGTGGGGTCCTGAATGTATGTATACAGTCAGTAATCTTCATATCCCAAACCTACTAAGAGGCAAAAAGGAATGTAACCTAATGAAAATGCAGCAGCTTAATGAGTGACTCACCTTGACTGTGCAATCACTGGAGTCAATAACAACACGAGTTCCATCACTAGTGAAGATGGCATCATTCACATAAAATTAATAGCAAGAAAATAACTGTTGTATGGATAGGGGAATGACTAAAGTTAGAAATTCAATGACCACATGAGTAAAATAGAGATAAAGATAATAGTGTTAAAAGGTGTCAAGTGCATTATAGTGGTAAGCAGGGTCACTATAGACAAAATTAACTTGCTATACAAAAGATAAAAAGTCCATTAATTTAATCGAACCTGGCAGTATCGTCAAACGATGCACTTAGCAGCTGGCTTCCATCACAAGAGAACTCGTGACTCCTTGAGAATGTGCATGTTCAATACGACGCAAGCATTGACCAGTCCTTGTACACTAGACCTGAGAAAAATTGCATGTTAACAAAGTTCCTTTCATATGGCAAAGTCAAATTCCAACTTCAATAATTTTTCCATAAGCCCTGACCAGCAATGCAAATTTCACCCGAGCAGGAAAAACACACAAAGCTTAAATACAAAAAGGTGTGCTAAAACATCACCGTTATTCCACATAAATAACAAAATGTTTTCCTCCACCCATAAAGCATTCTCTAAGTCCTTACAATCTGCAAAACAATAAACTCAAATGCATACCAACCACAATCAAACTTAAAGTGTCAGGTCTTAAGAACTTTTCATGACGTTTTTAGGCTCCCCCTATTTCTTTTGAGAAAAATTTACACTTTCTGGTCCCAGTAGAGTTACCAAGTTGTCTCAAGAACTCATTCTTCACAAGATCATTATAAACTAAGGCCTCTATTGTCTCAGAAGGAAGCTTTATGGATAATTTAAACATGCACACCCGTGAAGAGAACTAGAGAAGGTAACAACATTAGATATTATATAGGATATAAAAAAGACAAAATTCAGAGCTATGGCGTAGATGCAAGCATGTAAGGCTATGACTTATTTTGATCCTCCCATCTTCTGCTCCAGATGCAAGCATCTCAGAATCTCGGCTAAAATCAACACAGAGGACAGGATCATCATGCATCATAAAAGGTTCCTGAAAAGATTTTACATTTTCAGCAAAAACTACTAAATCCCAAATCAATTTGAAACAATCAAAGGACACATGGAAATAATCCGTTCTCATGTTCTCCTTTTCATTCTTTCTCTACTCGTGTTTTGGCACATGCATGAGTTTTACTGTGAATCTTTAAAAGCTATATGATGCCAATGGAAATACAATACAGGATTCTGTTTAACACAGAGCACGCGATAACTGGAGCAGCATCAGTTTGGTGCGGGGAAAGACAATGATTCAATTTTGGATGATATATCATGCAGGGATAGACCTTAGATGTTTCTTTTTCAAGATGTTATCGCATAACATTGGACAGATGATAAAATGGATGAGATTTGATCAGGTGAGGCTCGAAATGAGAACTATATAATATCAATAGAAAAGACTATGCCATCCCTTTCCTGTTATCGATAACAATAAAAAAAAAAAAAAGAAGAGCAGACAATAGGTTATAAAAAGAAAATTCACATCTCACATCAGCCTGGTACTGAAGATCCTTTTCTAGCTTTCCACTTGCATAATCCCACACCTAGCAGTGATCAAAAGATGAAATATCACTAAAGACTCATTCACTAATTTTTCATCGTCTGGAAGCGGTTTTCAAAAGCATAACTCGATAAACCCATCAATAGAACATGAGACAAGGTACTGCCCATCTGATGAGAATTTAGCACATTCTGGATGACTTTTTGTTCCAAACTGCAGAACAATGCAACAATTTAAAAACTACAAAATAATACATGCAAACCGGATAAAAATAAATATCACTTTTAGCCTGAATACCACTGAACCCCCCTGTCATTGTTCTTAAAATTCTCGTATCATTCCAAAAGGTCCATGTAATAAATTAGGATTAATGCAGCTACCTTTATGGTATGTGAAAGAGTTGTTGGATACATATCATCTAGATCTTGTTTCATGGCAGCTGTTCCTCGGAATAGATCAAACTGAGTTCCTGGAGGAAGCAACCCTGGATGAGGCAAACAAAATAGCTTCCATCCATTATCTTCAGTGACAGTAAATGGCAAAAAAGTGTATCAAATTTCCCATTGCCCACTCCCATGAGCAGAGATTTTGAGGATCGACCTTAATTTAAAAAGTAAAGCACTCCAAATAAAAGATACGTGCAAAACATATGGGTTAAATTTTAAGAAAAATAATTTTTTTAGAGGCTACACAGATTTCCTTATACATAGTTCG